TTTCACTAACTTTGAGCGGCATTATTACTACGATTACAAAAGGTCCGATTTTCACTGAAACTTCCTCTACAGGGGTCATTGGGTGCACTAATGACGAGAGTCAAATGCATCTCTACCGCCGGCACTATCTCGGCCCATCGACTTCCTCGCCAAACTCGTAGTAGAATGAGATAATTTGGCATGGTGTTAAGGAATATAATATTCATTTTTGCGCCATTATCTTTGGCGTCAGATTACCTGTAAATCATTTTTTGGTTATGGTTGAATTCCCGATCACGGAAATGTCATAGAATCCTCAGCTTTTGACGCTCGGTTGAGCCTAAGGAGAAAAGGGAAGGGGACGGTTCTTTGCACTCAGTCTTAGCAGAACACTGAAGACCCGGGAGTTTGCGACCTAGTCCAGGTTGCGTTCACTATTTCCCCCCCCCCCCCTTCTTCCCTTTGCGTAAGCACCAGCGATTGGTGCGCCATGTTAGCTAAGCCGATTTTTCTAGTCCGCACTCTGTCACCCAGTCTTAGCAGAACTCGAAATGGCGCTGATAGCTAAGAATGAGTGTCCGTTTTGTTACCAGGAAATTCGATCATTAGCAAAATAAAAGAGTAGCGAATTTAACTATAAGCGTAAACTGGCGTCGCCTTCAGAAGTAAGTGTCATATTCGGGATCAGAATGTTAACAACACAAGTGCGTGGATTTTCATCGACTTCGCTAATGAAAAAGAAGTGGGCTCAAAAAACAGATGTCGTCTCCAGGGTTCCATATAACCTTATAAGCGAACTCTCTACAATAAATCTTTTAGTTTTTGGGATCGAGATGTTTGATGTTCCCGAAAAAGTCATGTTATCCCGAATTGGAAGAGAAAAGGTAGATATACAGTAGTTGCTTTAGGTCGTGATACTATCACTGACGATGAAAACATGCTTACCCTCATGGCCGCCGACTTTGCCAGCGAGGATACAAGTATTTCTGAATCAACGGTTAGCGCAATGGAAGGATACTACGAGCAGGTAGTGTATTTCGCTGTACTTACTTTACTTACTTTATTTCGCTGTACTTTACTTTTTTGCTGTACTCCGTCAACGATATGAAAACATTCTACATGGATTTTGCAGTTACGTGAGATGTACACAGAATACGTCCAGGAAAGGGAGTTTCGTTGGTTAGAGCTGTACACTCGTCTTTCTGAGTTGTGGGATACTTGTCACGTGGCCGACATCGAGCGTCTGATACCGCCGTCTTACAATCCAGGTTTTCCCAGCGCTAAGCTATCCATGTTTTGGAGGTGAAACACTTTCTCTCCTGCAAGTCTTGATCAAATTGTTGCAGAGAAGCACACTGACAAAGATTTCGACAAGATTTCAACGGAGATTTCTCGTCTTGAGAGCCTTTATGCAGCACGAAAAGATGTATTTGACGTGTTGACGGCGTGAGTATGAGATTTTTGAAGTTTCAGAGATATGGGACGTGACGTATTCTAGTTCGCCGCGGACGAATGGACGTGTTAGCGGGGAAGTTTGGCGCGGTGCCAGACACGTTTTCCACCTGCTGTTGGAGCGAGCAAGTGACAAGACAGTGTTATATCGTTATATCGCTCGCTTTCTCGCACACCCACCTCAACAGCTAGCAGAGCACCGGTTTGGCGCCGTGGCACACTCATACTGCCTGAAACGCCCCTTCATCCTCAACGAACGAAAGTATATTCTGTGTTTATATTCTGTGTTGTTTTCAGATGGAAAGAGAAGTGGGCTGAGAAACTCGCTTTAGAGGAGAAGAAGAAAAATCCTGAGTATTTCCAAAACCGAGGCAGGGAGAATAACGTGTATCTTGATGCTAAGGTGAGCAGTAGTGAACAAAACCTTACTTCAAATTTCCGTTTTATTTTTTATGATGCGATTGGCAGCACCCTTCGCTTCGCCTGACGAAGTAGAGCGAGGCCAGAGTATAGACAACCTGAATCGCCAAGGGATTTAGTCTATGGACCACTTGAAATGTGTCTCTTTGAACGCGTCAAGTTTCGGTCATTGCCTGCGCTCTTTCGTCTATATTTCATCATTTTGTCCCGTCCCTCACAAATTATAACTTTCAGTCATAGTATTGCCTCTTGATTGACCCATGCCGTAGTCCCCTTCCCTTCAAAAAACCTATTCCGTGCCTTGCCTTGTACTATTCAGGTCTCCTCTAGCGCCCTCTGCCCTCTACCTTTCTCCGCTGCAGATTTCGCAGTTGTACTATGCACAATAGATTGAATACGTGTAAACAAGGAGGTTCAGACATAGTGGCTCTCCCCTAGATGTTCCAACCCCGAGCTGTTGCCGCTTCATGCCTTGAGATATTCATTTAGAGGTGCGGCCGCGATCGGATCGCTCGAGCAACCGAATCGCGCAACCTCCACCGTCACTGGGTGGACCTTCGCAAAGGCAGAATTCAAATGGGCTGCAATACTACAATGCATGAAAGCACGTGTACGCCCATCGTGCTCGCGCGATCTATGCGCGTACCGCGAAGTATGACCGCGCCTGGCAGACGTTCTCCTAAAAAAATGCTTTTGAATTTCACCTTCTAATGATTCGCTTGTTTTCTTTGTTTCTTTCCTTCTTTAATTACACCTAGGACTGTGGTAATTTGAAGGAGGAAAACAGCAAATACAGTACGCAAACCCATAAAGAAGAAAGGCGAACAAACAATAAATGTAGACTTCTATCATGAAATATGAACATCAATAGATCACACTTACAACCTTCGAAGAAAGGCGGTACGATCAACACTGGCACAAAGCTAGGTCAAAGATTTTGTGGGACTGTGTTTACACCTTGCAGTTAGGGATTGGATTTGCAAACCCGTAGAAGTGGCGACGAAACTGAGCTGGTAATCCCTTGCCGCTGTCCGCTGACCAATCGCGTATTTTTCTCTAAGAACGCTAATCGGTAGATTCCTATCTAGTCCTTTGTCGCCGACGTCGCGGAATCGCGAATTATCCACATTTGCAAAGTGTGGATGCGGCCAAAATGAGGTTGCTGACTATATTCGGATTTTTTTTCTTTCTTTCACAAAAGATTTTAAATATTCCAGATTGAGCGAACGCTTAACGACTACACGATTCCGAAACTTATGAAGACGCTTATCAACACTTACGAGGAATATCGCAAGTCTCACCCCAATGATGAAATTAGGCATGTTGTATTTCTTCAGAAAATGTCTCCCGTGACCGATGACATCTAGAAAAGCCCTACGTGTTCTCTTTTTTCCAGGGTAGATGGATTCACTCCTCCTGACTATGTGAAGTACATCCTAGATGAATACAACGCCAGCAAAGATGTGGAGCGTAAAAACAGGGCAAGTGATGAGGCTTCCCCTTATCTGAAGCTTCAAATTTCCATATGTGATTATTTCAGCAGATGCAACGAATGGTTTCAACGAGCGCTTTGAGAACACCACAGTCAGGTCGAGTAAAGTTGTTGCAAAGACCAGTTAGTTCCTCGAAGATAGAACCACTGCGAAAGGTGAGTAACAATCATATAATTTGCCAAAAATGCGTGCTATTGCGCTAGTGTAATGGATTCGAATCCAAGAAATTTTTCAGCGTCTCCGATATGATTCCACTCTCAGCACGATATGCATGAACACAACGTCAGCATCCATCACTAGCGTCATTACACCAACCAAGCGACGGATGGTTTGTTCTAAGACACCATTTAACTGTGATTCTTTTAAGGAATCCTGACCATCAAAGAAGTGGATACTGTGCGTGTACAAGGTGGGTGCATCGAGAGACGTTCTGCTCTCGCCACTTGAAAGTAGTGGGAAAAGGTTGAGGCATGTGACTGCTTGGTGCTTTTGTTGTCTCCATCCGCACTTCCTTACGGGCGGTGTCATCGCACCTTGATTGTCTGCGCCCTCTCACAGAGGTAGTGCTCGTTGGGTTTGTTTGACGCGGGTCTTTTTCAAGGTGATTAAAGATTATTAGGTTGTCCGGAAAGTTTTGTGCACCTATTTTTTGTACATTCACTGCTGATTAAAAACTCATTCTGCCTTGCTTCTCAGTAGCACATCCTGTAGAGAATTTCTTGCGCTATCTGATGGTATAATTGCCGTTTCACCATTGCTTGATAAACCCCCCTTTTTCAAGATTTTTTCAAGCATGTGAAAAGCACTTCGGACGATTTTTTCTTCGACTATAAATTGGGGCAATCCGCAATCGAAACAGCTCAACAAATTAACCAGGTGTGGGGGCCCAATAGTGCTAGAGAAAGCACTGTGCGGCAATGGCTCAACAAATTTCGTTCTGGAGATTTCAGCCTTGAAGATGAACCTCATAGCGGTCGACCTAAAGCAATATCTGACGAGGATTTTAGGGGATTTTGGAGGCTGACCCATCCCAAACAGTTCGAGAGATAGCAGAAGAGCTAGGCCTTGGCAAATCCACTGTTGCAGATGGTCTGGAACGCATTGGGAAGGTGAAAAAACTCGACAATTGGGTGCCCCACAATCGGAGTGACCGGCAGGAATCGGCACGTCTCGAGGTTCCTTCTGCATTGCTTTTGCGCAGCAGAAACGACCCGAATTGTCACCTGTGATGAAAAATGGGTCATGTATGATAACAGGAGACGTTCCGGACAGTGGTTGGATTTCGACGAACCACCGAGGTAATTTTCAAAGCCGAACCCTCACGAAAAAAAGATTCTGGTCACGGCTTGGTGGTCATCGGCTGGTGTGATCCACTATAACTTTTTATCACCAGGCCAAACCATCACAGCAGAACCCTACTGTGAAAATTTTTGTCAGATGCAGCCAAACACTTATCAAAAGAAAGGGTCCGATTCCTTTGCATGACAACGCCCCCACACGTTTCACAAATCACTATCCATAAATTGAACGAATTGGGGGTTGAAGTTCTACCTCAACCGCCATATTCTTCAGACCTTTCGCCAACCGACTATCACCTTTTCTAACATTTTCAGAACTTGCTGGAAAATACTTCATCAATCAGGACCAGGCAAAAAAGCCTTAGTGGATTTCGTGAATTTTCGACCACCCAGTTTTTTACTTTGATGGGATTTCTCGACTGCTGTCACATTGGCAAAAGTGTGCTGATTCGAATGGTGCCTATTAGAAAGTTACGATCGTTTAAAGTGAAACACCCAAAACGCTGAGAACTTTCCGGACAACCTAATAGAATCTGTAATTACTCTGAAAGAGCCTCGGTTCCACTCAAGCCCAGGAATACCTTCTCTTGAGAGGAGCGGTCGTAGCGTGTATGACATAGCCGTATGGCGTATTGGCTGGCAAGCAGAACTTTGCGAGCATCAAGGCATCACAACCCTCTGACTTGATCCCATCGCCTTTTCGAGCGGGAAAAGTGGTCCACTCCTGCTGACCTGGCCACCTTGTATGCGAAAAGTATCCTCTTCGCACACAGTGCCTTTAAAGGGAACTGGTACGGTAGTCCCTCGAGGAGTGTAGGATCAATACGCCCAGCAGACCAGCAGAATAGGGTTCTGCGTCCTTGAGCAGACGCTGCGTGGAATCTTTTTCGAGGAAAGAACCTTTATAGCGCCCTGTCAAGCTGCAACATACCGACCCGGACGCCCACCGCGCCCGCCCGCCCACAAATGTCCGACCGATGCTGATGCTCGTATCGCTTCATTTGCGAAGTACAGTATGAAGCAAAGGGATTGATATGAAGCGGCTGCAGTACTCTATGGGTGTATGTGTACATAGATGCAGCCGTATCTATCGTAGCTGGCACGATACCAGCGGGAAACCCGTCCGAAATTGCTTTCCGAGTCGTGTAGAACAAAGGCTTTTGCAAGTTCTGATTCGTCTCACTTCGTTTTTTCCCCGTTTTCTCACTAAATAGCACTCTCGCTTCATTTGGGACCGAGTACCGAATTATCGTGCCTTTGCCCTTAGAGATCAGGTCCATCAGTTCATCCAGTCAATCATGTTTTCAGTGTGGTCCCAAGCATTCATCTCCGAAAGTCCTGTACACCGAAGTCGAAAGTGCCAAAGTCCTCTACACCGAAGTCGAAAGTGGGCTGAACTCAAGCAAGAGGCCTACACCGATTCTCAGCAGGCGAAGTTGTCAGGCAAAAAACGTGCTCCTCTGTCGTCACAGAAATCTGTTCGAATCACGCGAACACCATTTCGAAGATCTAATAGGTTCACAAAATATAACCCCATATATCCTTTAATTTAATGTCATGTGATCAGCGAGTTCATAGCTTCATAATTATTACTTGTTACAAAATTAACTTCTGTATCTCGTCAAGTATTATTGATTTCATACTAGAATTATTTGGCTGTGTAATAACACGTTTTCATTTAACTTTACTTATTACTGATGCTAATCTTCCTTGACGCTAACGTATTGTGGGGAAGATGTTTTACTTAGCTCTTTTTGGTTTTTCCGTGGACAAGGCTTTAGGCGTAGTGCACAGACAGTCAGAGGCTGCTGGAGGACTCCGCGGTATCTGACCGCCTGCGCTACAGTCCTTAGCATTGTATAAGGAAAAAGATACAGAGGCAGTGTGATGTGCCTCCTCAACACCCTCCCTACATGTTATTACCGCCCTTTATAAGAATCTCATAGTTCTGTTAAATAAACGCAAGGTTCCTACTGTAACGTTTTTCAAGAGTTTCTATAATGTGAAGATAACATCTTGCGTACTAACGTTGTAAATAGTATAGCGCTGTGAATAAAAAGCTTTGTTGTGATGTATTAGGCGTAATTAGGACTTTTCAACGTTTGCCATCTAAAGCCGCAGCAAATCGTGGAGATGCGGGCGATGTCGTGTCAAGACACACCTACCAAAAGTTTTTTGTACAATCTTGGCATTCGCTGCGGGAACTGCCCGACGCAAAGCGTCATGGTCGTCGTGCTGAGCACCACACACCTTAACGTTAGAGCGTTAGATTTTTTTTTGGTTTTTTTGGGTAATTGTAGAGCCACCCCTTTACAAGTGATGAAGGATCGTAGGGTTGTGAAGTACTAGATTTGAAGTCCCGAACATGCTAGTCCATATGTTTCATGTAACGAGAACTAATTTGATGGAAAATTCCTGTGGAAATTGGATATTAGATTTCCCATGATTTTTGACCGACTACCGGGCAATTTTCTTAATTTATGTTTCTTCTGATGAAAAATTCTAGTCAACACTTTGTTCAGAAGTATCTGCAGCATGCGCCATTCGCTATACAATGACTGGCTAAGTTTTGCCGTGTAGCGAGTAAAGCGCGATCAAATATTTGGAAGGCCGTCTCGGAGTAAAAAGTTCATTTCCAGTTGGCTGGCTGCAACTCTAACCTGAGCGCGGTACGAAGTACGAGCGCTAAACGGTGTGTGGTCGCTCTTCCCAGCTCGCTTCTTCTAGTTGGGTCGGTACTGCGATGAAAGGTCGAACGTCATCCTGAAAGAAAGGCGACAGTGAGCTGTCTCAGATTTCGCTTTACTGCGCTGAGCTTCCACAGTTGACAGCCAATTTGTATTCAAGCTGGTCTCGAAGTTGTCTTTTCATTCCTGAGAGCGTAAACTTCAGAGTAGGAACCTGGGACATTAGTCATGCTGGTGAATTTTTTGGGGAGCAGCTACGTGGCGTGTTGCATCTAGTGCTCGTTACGCATCCAGCTCCCATACTTGAGCCATTACCGACATGACAAAGTACTGCCCATACTGCCACTGACGAAGCCTTTTGTTGCTAGTCAAGTGTGCATGGTCGGCCAATTCATGCGGTGATCAGACACGACTCTGCAGTGGCCAAGTCCACTCAGAAGTGGAACGGTGTTGCCACGATCGTGTCAAAGTGCCTGTCACAAATCTCAGTTAATAGCATCCAAATGTCAACTAGTAGCAGAATGGACCTCTATTCACGGTGAATGCACGCACAGGATGAAATTGACTTCCTCAGCTTATACCGCCTTATACGGGACAATAAAACCGTAGCCTGATATTCCAATTAGTAGCGTGCCTGTCCTCAATACAATTCCAAACAATTCCAACCTTTTCATCAGTTCCTCTTGCACTGGCCTAAAATGCGGAGTCCTGGACCATAATTCAACGTAAAGGATGTGTATCCATTTAGCTGGTCGATCTGCAACTCTTTTCGGCTTTGGGAACGCCTGGTTGTAGCCGGACTACCCTAAATTATTACATATCCTCGGCAAGAGGGTACAGCATCGTTGTGCGAAACCCATAGGGGGGTCGTACTTGGCCGCTGGGGAGGGGGGGGGTCGTAATCTCAAGGGTCACTCAGAGCCGGGCAATGCTTCGACATTTCAGTTGATAGTGGGAGTGGAGCTATGGAAGTCAAGATGTTAAAAAAATGAAAATTATTATGAGTGTATTCTTTACAGATTTAACTGCTACGTTTAACAGCCCTCTTTTCATGCGAAATCCCCAAAAATGGGTTCGTACTTGGCCGCGGGGGACGTGGGAAAGTAGGCTCGCTAGGCATCAAACAGTACAAAAGTGTCATTGCTAAGTTTGATGGAACGGACGGAAAGCTGCAGAAGACCCGGATGTAAATAGGACTACAAAATAATAAAAAATTTGCTAGCAATATAGCAAGAATAGCAAGAATCCTACTATACATAATCCGCTAAGTTTGTCTGTTGGTGTGTGTGTTTGCTGTTTGATGGTTGTTTGAATGTATGTTTGTTTGTGAACTTATCCGCTGGACATCATACCTTTGACGAATTCACTCCTCTCAAAGAAGCGATAGAGTC